TACTATTAAACTTAGTCAAAGCCTGATCTATTGCGGTTTTAATTTCGATGTTTATTTTTTTGATTTTGTAATATTTTATCATGAAATTGATAGACTTGAAAAATTGTACATCTGAATAAAGAATGTTATCACTTTCGAGATTATATTTTGAAATAAAATATGTAAAGATACAAGTTTTGATTGACAAAAAAAACAAAAAACAAAATCATTTATTTATTTTTTTATATCATTATGTGTAAATAAGATCTTAGTAGTGTATGATTAAAATTTTAGATTTCATTTTGATAAAAATGAAATAAATCCTAATGAAAAATTACTATGTATCTTTGATATAATTATTACATTTTCAAGGGAATTTTTCTTCAACTAAGAATTATTTCTTGTTTACGTTTCTTTATTAAAATGAATAAGATAACATCTATATAATGTAGTTTATTTAGTACACATAGAATAATTATTTTATTTATTTCAATGAGAAATTTTTTTAAGTTGTTATAAACAAAAAAAAAAAGGAAAAGAAAATTAATTGAATTCTGTCGTTTTTATAAATTTCTATCTAATTTCAAAATAGATTAAATCTTCTTTCTTTTTTCTTCTATTTATATATTATCTTAGGAAAAGAAAACATTTCTAACTACTTCTATGATGAACCTCTTATAGAATGATAATTAAGAGATTTTCTGTAAAAAAGATGGTGTTTCCTCTTTCTTTTTATTCTCTGTTCCTGTTCATATGCGTGATTCTCTCATCAGACTTAAAAAAAAAGAAAAGAAAAGAAAAACAAAACCATGTTTTATTTAAAAAGAAAAAGAAAGACAAGATGATACTTACATTAATGTCTTATGAAACTTAAATGATGTCTTCTGCGAACATAAATAATAATATCAAACGTCATTTAATTGATATAAAACCAAATCGAGAAAATATTCGTTTAATTTATTTAAATAATACAGAACCAACATTTGACATACAATCAAATTTACTTAAAATAAATCCAGCTGCACAATTTTATACGGATATTCAATTATGTATTGATATAATAAAAACAATTTCTAATGAAAATATTTTTTTAATTATTTCAAATATATTATTATCAAATATTTTCGATTATATTTATTCTTTACAATCAATTATTGCTATTTTTATTTATGATGATAAACAACAAATAAATGAATTGAAAATTAAATGTCCAAAAATAATTGATACATATACAAATCAATATGATTTATTTAAATCTATTGAAGAAAAAATTCAATTTATTGAAAAACAAACATTTATTTATAGTTTATTTAATCAAAAACATAAATTAATAACAAATGAATCAGCTTCATTTCTTTGGTATTATATGTTAATTGATATTCTTAAACAAATACCACAAAATGAATCTTTACGTGATGAAATCTTAAATAAATGTTCAGATTATTATCGAACAAATCGTTTAGAATTAGATAATATTGAATTATTTCGTCAAAATTATCTAACACAACAAGCTATACAATGGTATAGAAATGATTGTTTTATATATAAATTATTAAATCGTGCATTACGTACAATAGATTTTGAAATTTTATATTCAATTCGTTTTTTTATTATTGATTTATATTTTCAAATAAAAAAAGAATATAAAAATATTAAAAAACAAGAATATTTAATTGTTTATCATGCACAAATAATGTCTATTGAAGAAATTAAAAAATTAAAAAAATATATTGGTTATTTAATATCAATCAATAATTTTTTATTAACATCATATAATAAAAATTTATTATTAAAAAATTATTTTCAAGAAAATTTTTCAATATATGTTAATGTTCTTTTTGAAATTCATATTGATCTTAGAATTGAAACAATTAGTTTAACTAATATATCATCATTATGTCATGAAAATGAAATTTTATTAAATATAAATTCTATATTTAAAATAGATTCTATAGAATATGATTCTATAAATAATTTATGGAATATTAAACTAATAACAAATGATGATGAAACAAAACATGTTCATGAATATTTAAAATGGACTCAAAAAGAAATGGATTATGATAGTTCAATGATTTATTTTGGTTATCTTTTATGGAATGAATTAGGTCAAATGAATCAAGCAAAAAATTATTTTCATATATTATTAAAATTATTAACAAATAATAATAGAGATATTGCAAAAATTTATATTGAATTAGGAAATATAAATAATGAAATTGAAGAATATAAATTAGCATTAGAAAATTATGAATATGCTCTTGATATTTATCAAAAACAAATACCAAAAGATAATATTCATATTGCTTTAGTATTAAATCATATTGGAATTGTTTATAAACATATGGGTAAATTTGATCGTGCTATTGAATATTATCAACAATCATTAGATATTTATGAAACTACATGTTCACATAATATAGATCATATTCATCGAACTAATACTATGGTTAATATGGCCTTAGCATATAGAGATAAAAAAGATTTTCATACTGCTCTTACTTATCTAATGCAAGCTTATAATATTCGACATGATATTCTTCCAAATGATGATCCATTACTTGCAAATTCATTAATTAATATTGGTAATATCTATTGTGATAAACATGATTTAAATCAAGCTCTTGATTATTATCAACAAGCTTTATCAATTCAAGAAATAGTCTATCCAGATGATCATTTAAATAAAGTCCATACACTACAAACTATTGGTCATATTTATTTTGATAAACAAAATTGGCAAAATGCTCTAGATTATTTAAATCGTACATTGAAAATGTATCAATGTTTATTATCTACTAATATAAATCATTATGATATTGCTATGTGTTATGGTGATTTGGGTAATGTATATGAAAAAATGAATAATTTAGATTTAGCATATAATTATTATGATCAACAATTTCAAATTGAAGAACAATATTTATTATTTAATCATCCAAATCTTATTATACATTTTGATCATATAATAAATATATTAAAAAAGAATAATAATATTGAAAAAGCAATTGAATTATGTCAAAAAAAATTATCTATATTAAAAAATATTTTTGGAATTGAATATGAATATAATTTACGTATAGCTCGTATATTAGTATTAATAGCAACATTATATGAAGATAAAAATCCACTTGAATCTCATCAATATTATCAACAAGCATTAGATATATTTGAACATAATAAAAATGAAGATACATTTCAAATATGTCTTTCAACAATGATAAATTTCTATTGGAAATGTCGAATGTTTGATCGTGCATTAATATGTCAAATGAAATTACTTAATCTTAGACGTTCAATATTATCATCTAATCATCATGATATAGGATATAGTTTACGTGATTTAGCACGACTTTATCGAGTTATGAATAAATCAAATGAAGCATTACAATATTTTGAACAAAGTTTACATATTTTACAATCAAAATATGGATCTGAACATATGGATGTTAAAAATATACAAAAAGAAATTATCGATTTAAAAGATATAATTAAATCAATATCATCTAATGCTGATGAAGATTATAATAATCGTCGAAATTCGAATGCACATAAATCATTCTTTATAATGCCACAAAATGATTCAAATTCACAATCATCTACATCAAGTTGGAATACAAAAAATAAATCATCAAGATCAAACTCTACGAGTGCAATTTGTATTATTATATAAATAAAAATTATATTTTTAAACTTACATATATTTTTGAGAGAAAATAGTGATTTCGAATTCCTTATTACAGAAATAGAAACAGATTCTTAGTCTAATGATTGATTATTTCTCTGAATATATTTTCTATTAGTTGAATTAGACTAAAAAAATGATGTGTAAGTTCCACAATTGAGCCCTAAAGAGGCAACGCTAAAAAACTTTTCTATCTGATAATTATCATAATAAGTCATAATCCTTTAGATTTGCATGCTAGTCATGAAATTACAGTCAGAAATAGTTATCGCTTGAATGTATTAAATAAGAAAGTTTGGTTTATAGAATATCTAAAAAAAACTTCTAATTGAATGAAATGAATATTGCCAGATGATTCATTATGTACAAGAAAAGAATTCTTCTCACGCCATACGTTTGCTCACATCATCGATAGTAACGTTTACAATTGTTGATTCGGAGCAGTATACTGATCATAGTTATCACCTGAGTTGTTTTGTTTTTTCTTCTTATGTGAATTATAAATTCGGAAATTTCTTTTATTAGAAACAAGAATGTCAAAGTAACATTTTAATTTACGAACATAAGATTATGTAACCATGTCAATAATAATGTATACATAAAAATGATACAGACATATATCAATAAGCTTCAGATTAATACATTAACTTACTTTTCCAAGGCTTTGCTTTTAAATTTTTTTAGTATTCACTTTGTTTTTTAGTAAAACATCTATGTAAATCATAGATGTCTTTTAATAATCAGTTTTTGAATGCGTAACATATTATAGAGTCTATTGAACAAATTATATAAAGATGCTCTTACAATGTTCGTTATTTTTGAAGAATAGAGCTGATCAGACATATTTGAAACTTTCAGAATAATTGATCTTGATGAGTAGATATATTATATTTTTGTTCATTCATTAACATATGACGAAATACATTTGTTACAACCTATAAATACTTGACTGTTTTACTGAATAGCTTCTATACATAAAATTTAAATAATAAATGAAAAAAACAAAAAGTATTATGTGATTTAAGTTTAACATTCATTTTCTCGAAAACTAATAATCTATTTTAAAGATCAAATAATTTACATGAAAATATACATCTTGAAAAAAAGAAAAGAAACGAAACGCATCATTTCTTAATTGATTTCCCGCATCAAAAGACTGATCTATAAAATTGTTTTGTTACTTAGAACAACTAAAATATGTGTAAATGATATATTTCAATCGATTTATTTTCATTTAATACGAATTTTTTTTTTTTGTTATCATAATGTACATTTATTCATTGTTCACATAGTCTTAAATAATTTATTTTTAAGTCAGAACAAAAAAAACAAAAAAATGTTTCTTGGTATACCATTGAATTTAATACAAAAGATTTTTGAGAAAAAAAAATATCATCAACAAGAAAAATTAATAAAAACAACAACTATATTTACACAAACAACAACAACAACAACATCAAATTTTTATTCACCTATAATTAATACTACTCAAATCAAACAAACAACACAACAAATAATTACACATATAAAAACAATAACATTTTATACTTATTCATCTATGATAAATATGACTTTAAAAACTAATATTACTATTCGAAATAAAATGTTTATTTCTTTGTTTATAACTTTAATAATAATTTCATTATGTATTAGTATTAGTTATTTTATTATGATATATTTTAGATATTATCTTACTATGAAACCGTTTGTTAAACAAAATTTATCAATATTTAATCGAGAATCATTTTCTAGTTCAGAAGATTCTAATTCTGATAAACAATCATATATATTAGTTAAAACAATAAATGATAAAAACAAAGAAAGACATTCGTTAACTGATTCGATTAAATTATTTAGATATTAGATATTTTCTTGTTTCAACAAAAAAAAAATCGTAATTGATAATTTTCGAATACGATTAATAATTCATTCTCAGTGACTGGTTTTAAAAACAATGATTTTGTGATACTGAATAAGATTCTGGGTTTCAGTCCAATAATTTCAACGTCCGGATCCATGAATTTCTGGTAGATTTTACACTATTCTCAGTATGAGAACTTGAAAATGTGAACTAGGTCCAATCACCAGATTCCTACTGTTTTTCCGATTTTTCTAGCCGAAAATGGGTCGCATTTCTTGAGCAGAGATGTTAAAATAATTATCTATTCTCTATAATTTGGTCTACTCACATATCATCTATCAATTAATAAATAAAACTTTGTTTAACTACATTGATATGACTAAAAACTTGAGGTCTATTGTAGTTACATCAGTTCAAAATAAATATTACTATTCTAATTATCATATTGCATAAATGAGATGAGAATTAATAAAATTTTTCTCTCAACTCCTTCGTACTCATAAATCTTCGAATTATTTTCTATTGTAAAGAAATAAAAAAATAACGATTGAAATAGAAAATATCGTTTTTTTTTTACAAGTACTTTATTAATTAATTGTTGAATAAGAAAAATATTTATCTTACAAATTTAATTAAATTATAAATAAAATTGAAAAATTCATTATTAATATAAAAATCAACCATGGAAAACATAACATTGTATTACTAGTATAGCAAGTATGTGTTACTTGATCAGGTTTACTACATGATGATTGTTGTCGACAAGCTGAATCGCACAATGTACAACTTCCACATATGCTAATATCATAATTTTTACATCTATCTGCACCACAACAATGACATCGACAAATTATATTTCCATCAGTACCACTAACACATGTACCATATGCTTGACCATTATGTGATAATGAAGGACATGATAATGGATATCGATTTATACATGCTTGTGTACAAGCTCCTGATGAACATTGAGATACTGATGCTATACCCACGTATGTCGGTAAACAATTCGAACCTGTTTGACAGCACATACATGAACATGTATAACCAAGCCATGAACCAATGGTTGTTTGTGTTGATGTTGTTGTTGTTGTTGTTATGAGATTTGTACATGTACCTTGAGTGAATCCATTATGATTTGCTACACATACATGTGGATATTGAGTAGCACATGATATACTACATGATTCTGTGTTACATACAAATGCTTGACTATTACCAACATATGAAGGTGAACATGAAGGAGAACCTGTATTGCAACAATCACATCGACAATTAAATGATGGAACAATTGTTGAATTACATTGTGCTGATATTAGATTGAATGGATAATTTTGTCGACATGTAGAATATGTAGCTTGACATTGTGCAAGACATGTTTCTAATGTACAACTTTGTACGTGAATCGGTGGTAAAGAATTAGGATTACACGGTAGACCAGGACAGCATGAACATAAACATAAATGTTGTTGTGCTTGAACACTGCCAAATAACAAAAAATACCATAATAGATGCATCGTTATAACTTGTCAAGATTATGTCGGTGATGATTTTATATCAAAGAAGTATAATATTGAGAAAAAAAAAATTGATATTTTCAAGACAACAACAAAACAGAAAGTTATATTCAAGGTTGAATCTTATTGTCAACATGTTATTTGACTATAGAATAAAATTAATACCTAAGTACATATTAATAACCTCAAGATACATATAAGAATAGGTCGTAAAATGCTTAGTATGAATCCGATGAATGATGATTCCAAAATATTATCATTCATAGTTTTATTTCGAAGCAAGATCAAACAAGAATTTTGAGTTTCATTCTTTTTTTCCTTGAAATATTTACCTATTTCTTAAGTGAATAAAAAAAAAAATAACATATTGATACAAATATTATACATTGTTTGATAAAGAAAGACACAAAAATTCAAACGAATATGATCATATTCCTCTCTTTGATATCAGTTAAATTTTAGCATATGAAAGAAATTTTCGGCATCATTCTAAAATTCAAATTATCTAATTGAATAAATAAGAGATATGATTAACTTAGACTATGTAATTTTATTTTATAACTTAATCGAACACTAACATATCAATAGAATTTCATTTCATAGGGCTGTATTTTATTGTGCTATATGCAGTTGATAACAACCGTCAAACAGTCTAAAACTTGTATATCTGACCGTTTAGAATATGTTGTGAGTATGTGAAAGACACATTCATACTCTGCATGTAAAAAACGATATGTGATACCGACGTTATGCCATACTTAGTAAATGTTGTCAACAATGTACATGATCATGTTCTCAATAACGTTAATAGAAATAGTACGAATGTCTTTCTTAGAAATGTTTCTATCATCAACAGAGTAGGAAAATATTACTAATACAATTTTGTTTGCTACTATTAGCGTTGAACTTCGTCATCATTTTTGTTTTTATCGTTTGAAAAAGGAATTAACTTTAAATTTTAGTATAAACTATGCAATAAAAAATGATTAAAGTCTAGTCGTTTGTCAAACAGGATAAGATACGATTTGATGATAGTATCCGAAAAAATAACATACTTCAACCAATCATCGTTTCATTTTAACTTATACTTATCTAACGAGAGAATCTCTTCAAGTGTCAAATTGCTTTTCGACCGAAACTATGTTTATGTAATGAGTACTAGAAAATTCTGGAATATTTTAGTTTTTTAAATATCGAAATTTTATTCGTAGTTCTTAATGAGATTAGTTGATTGTTCAAATTTTAGCTATTCTAATATCTCCTATCTTGAAATATTCTTATTTGTCAAAGGAAATTTTGTTCATATATTTACACTTCGAAATCGAAACTCGTTTTTTTTCCTCATATGATCTTAGAAGAATCATTGCTTTTTATTGAAAAAAAAAACCATCTCGAGAACGAAAGCTTGGAGAAAAACCAAAACATTTTAGACATTTGAAAAAATTCTCTCGTAAGTGTCTATCTTCTATAACTATGTTAATATTGCAACATACAATTAGATTATATTACATAATATATAAAAAAATCTATTTTCTTTTTTTTTTCATTTGAAATGTATTTCTTGTCGCCTCGTATCACGATTAAATATTAAAAAAAAAAAAGAAAGGAACTTGAATGAAAGGTTATAAAATAATAATATATTCAATTCATTATATGAGTTAGTATGAATGTTTTTTTCTTTTGTTTTGTTATCTAAATGCATTTTATATTATTGTTCAATTAAATTAATTATCGTCCATCGACTGGTGTATATCCTGGTGTAGGTGCTATAACACAAAATAAATAATAGAATAATGAAAAAAATAATAATAAATTATGTCTTACTCCATATACCAAATGTAGATTCACTAAGACGATCTTGTCGAACTTTATTTAATAATACAAGTATAATTGGTTTAATTAATAAATGAACTATAGCAAAACTAGAATAATTTAATATAATATTAAAATTTAAGATTTTCGTTTTTTCAATAAATTAACTTACAGAGCACTAATAACAAAATATGCAATACTACTGCGAGTACTATAAGCTAAAAATAAATAAAATAAACTTAATAATAATTAAAAATAAACATGAACATATATATACTTTGTTTTCCAATTTGAAAATACATTCCAATACCAATTGAATCTAATACAATTGAAAAAATTTCAATTAACATTAACTAAACAAATAAAAAAACAAAATATTAATAATGTAAAAAATAGAAACATATAACAAACAAGTTCAACTTGAATAACATTTTCACGATGTACTATAGCCCAAAAACCAAGTGCTAAAATAGTAACTTGATTGAGAAGATATGATTTAGGTAACCAATCAGCCATTAGTACCCTAATCAAAAAAAGAAAATTTATATTGTTTATGATTAGAAAAACAAAAAAAGAAAAATCTCATTACTTACATGCTTATAAAAGTAAAATGTATACAAATAATTATCTTAAATTAATTAATAAAATTTCATTTTAATTTTATTTTTTAAATATATATATATATATTGTCTTACTCGAAGAAGTGTATCACGATTCATTGTCATTTTTTTTTTTTGGTTTTTTACTTGTTCAATATTATTTATCTATAAATATTTTTAAAATTATTCAACTAATGTTCTTTTTTATGAAGAAAAAAAATGTTCTCTTTCTATAGGCAAAATATAATATTTTTTTATTATTAAGAATAAAAGAAAAAGCATGCTTTAATATTCATAATATTATTATTTAATGAAGAAATACGAGATTTTACATGTCACATGTATGTGAAATAAATGTAATCAATTAAACAATTTTTATTTTATTTCCTCTATTTATATGAAAAATTTTTCTAGTATTCGAATTTACATATCTACATTGACATTTTTGTTTTTGAATTCTTTTTCGCTTTTTTTTAAATCAAAAAAAGAAAAAAACAAAAAGTTGTGAAAATCGATCTGACATTTTGTTTGACTAAGAAAATTCGCAGTACGATTAGTCATAGAATAAATATCTGGATAAATCACTATGATGACTATTTTTCTCGGATCATTTGGGAGATTGTTAGTCAAGCGCAAGAACTCTGTATCAAGTCAGTCTTCTATCTAGAGCTACAGCTAATTATAGTGAAGATATCGGGTTATTAATTCTGAAGTGAGAGAAACCATTCAAACTCTTCCATTTCTTTCAACTTCGACGAAACTTTTGGAAATGAAAATATTGAATTTCTTATAAAATTAATAAAAAATCTTTAATTCTTACTTTTACTGATAAGATAAAAAAGTTATTCATATTTACTTAGATTTTAATTGAATTAATTCAAAATAGAATAATAAATATGTTTATATTAAATTATTCAATATTTAAAAAGATGATTAAATTTATTTACTCTTTGTAATCTAAGAAATTGACAAGTATTAACAAAATAAACATACTCTACACATAATATTTCTTCTCTCTATAGATTTACAAAAAGAATATTTCTTTACAATATACAGTTTAACTTATTCCGATAATACTTCATATTTTAAATAATAAAATTTATCTTCAAAATGATTAAAAATGAATCCAATAATAATAACAAAATCATTCATGATATATACACATAAAGAACATTTATTATAGAGAAACAACAGAAGATACACACATATAACATCAAACAAATCTGATATAGTTATATTCTACATCTAAAATTAATATGAAATTTTCAAAATCAACAGACAAAAACAAAATATAAAAATTCATTTCAATATTTTGAGCAATTTAAACACATGTTTATATGCTTTACACAAATCAATCATATAACAACAACATACATCAAAAATCAATCGGAACAGTTAAATTTCGAATAGGTAAATTAATTAACCAATCAATTCATATGATGTCGCTTTTTCAATTCGAATGAATCATCAATATGGTTCGATTGTGTGCAATTCTGTTGATGTAATGATCATCTCATTCAAAAATGTTACTTTATCGATTACTTACTCGTCCTAAATCATTAAATTATGATTTTTATCGATTATTATCAGTCAGATCTATAATTCAACCACGTCGTCTAATAAAATTTACTATTGGTACAACTCTATTAACTGGTCTTGGTTTTATGTCTTATACACTCTATGAATCTGGTCCTGAATGGGAAAAAATTCGTCGAACAAGTTATTTTTGGTCTCATATGCTTCCAGTTTATATACATTATCGATATCAACAAATGTATTTTAAATTATTTCCAACAAAAAATTCTGAAGAAGAAGATAAAATATGGTCTAATTTACATAATAAATATTGTGATTATGTATTAAATGTTGTTCTTCATCAACGAGGTGTTTATATTAAATTAGGACAAATAGCATCGACTCGTCCAGATATTGTACCAAAACCATATTTAAAAAAATTTGCTCAATTACAAGTAAAAATTAATATTATTATTCAAATTTAATTTTTTTTTTTGATTATTTAATATAATTAGGATGGTGTACCAGCTCAATCCGGTGAATATGCTCGACAAATGATTGAACAAGCATTTGATAAACCATTAGAAGATATTTTTTCTGAATTTAATCCAAAACCTGTTGGTGCAGCAACTATTGGACAAGCACATGAAGCACGTTTAAAAGGATCAAATAAAGAAGTTATTATTAAAATACAATATCCTGAAGTACGAAGACTTTTTGAATTGGATTTTTCAACATTAAAAAAATTTGTTCGATTAGCACAACCAGAACATTTACCTTTATTTGATGAATTTGAAAAAGGTTTTCAAATTGAATTTGATTTTAGAAGAGAAGCAAAAGCATTAGATATTATTGGTATGATAAAATTTCTTTTATATTAATAATAATAATATAGATTTCTTACGAAATATTTAATCAAATATTAGAATTATATATATTATGAGATATATTGAAAACTCTAAAAAGAAAAGAGCATGCATCTATATGATAATTTGTGAACTTTTTTCTTTCTTTAATCTATAGTTTTGAGATTTATGTATGAACCATTAATTACTTGGAAAAGATCGTATTGAT